GTGCAGCATTGTTGGCAATAAAATAATTGGACCTTTTTTTATTGATGGCAATTTGAATGGTAAAAAGTATCGGAATTTTTTGTTGAACGATTTACCGGTTTTGTTGGAAGACCTTACTCTGGGGCGAAGACTTGCGCTATGGTATCAGCATGATGGATGTCCATCTCATTATGCTCTAGCCGCAAGAAAAGTTTTAGACGAAATGTTTCCTGAAAAATTGATAAGACGTAATGGACCGGTGAATTAGCCAGCTAGATCACCCGACTTAACTTCTCCCGATTTCTTTCTTTGGGGTTACCTCAAAGAGAAAGTTTACAACCAGGTTCCAACAACACCAAACAATATGAAAAACCGTATCAGAGCAGCTTGCGAATCAATAACTGAAAAAATGCTTGGCAATGTGCAGAGAACGTTTTCAATGCGAATTCAGAAATGTTTAGAAGTGAATGGTCATCATTTTGAGCATTTAATCGATGTATAAAGGCAACTTATACCAATTATTTATTAATTTTTTTATTCAAATAGTTTTAAATATTGTTTATTTAAAAAAAAAATGATTAAACTATACTATTAATCAACAACAAGTATAAAATGTATAATAAATGTTCAAATATTTCCCCAGCCAGTTCAATACATTTCTTAACCCTTCTACAAAAACTTTCTTTACATCTTAAAAGGTTTTCATGACTGCTATTTATGCATGCATTTCTTATCCGCTCTTTCATGCATTATCAAAATGACATATGCCATTTTAAATGAAACACCCTGCATAACAAGATTAGCAAGAAGACAACGAATTTAAAAAACACACGTCGCGTACGTTTATAAAATTGTAATAGAATCATTGTTAGATTGTTGGAATTAATTTAAATTAAAAACATTGATGTCGTTTTTCTTATTTTTAGAGAAACCCAGAAGCGTTTTTTTAATAAATTGATCACTTTATAACAATAAAAAATTATCTCATTATAAAACGACATTCAATGTTTTTAATTTAAATTAATTCTAACAATCTAACAATGATTCTATTACAATTTTATAGACGTAATATAATAAGAACACATAAACTCACAGATTTTACAGTAAATTATATAGATGTTAATATTTTCAAAAACATTTTCCGAACATATTGAACATCTTACAAAACTTTTCAAAGCAATAAAAAAAGAAGGCTTTAGATTAAAGTTTTCAAAATGTAATTTTTTTAAAATCCGATTCAGTAAAATATTTGGGCCATATAATCCAAAATAATTCAATTCGACCAATAAAGGATAACTTAATTTCAATTAGAATTACGTTAGGCCAGAGGTTCTCAAACTAATTTCTTTCTCGTCTACTGTGAGAATCAAATATTTTCTAGCGCCCCTTAAATTTTTAACTTTATCCCAAGTAGAAAATCGCTACGCAATTATTATTAGTATATTATATTCTAGTAACGAACTGTTCTAATAAGACCAATAAAACTCAACTTTGGAAACATTATTTAGCAAAACCTTTATTCATATTAAAACAAATATTTAAATTTTAAAACTAAGCTAATGTGTGTTTTTAAATTTGATTTTTTTTATTTCCACATTTGTTGTCAGTTCTATTAGTTCTTCGTCCAACTGAGATGATCCTGCTGTGTTAACATTTGAAAAAAGATCCAACACCCAATCTGGTATTTCCAATTTTAAAATGTCCTGAAATCGTTCTTGGAAATCACTATAAAGGTTCTCCAAATGTTGGCAGTAAGCAAGCAAATCATCGTTGTTCAAAGATGCAACTGATAAATTAGGATAAATTGAAAAATTGTGTCAGTTTGGCTATGAAAGCAGCAACAACATTTTTTGTTTTAATCAAGTTTACGTCATCACCTTGATATTGTATCATTAAACAATTTATACAAGTTTGCAAAGTACGCAATATCATTCTTTGATGCGATGAGGTTGTCGTGCAATTCCGTGTCTTTTTTTCCAAAAACACTATCACAGTGTTAAACAGACTGTAAAAACGAGTCAAACAAGTACCAAAATTCAATTTTTTGACAGGGAAAAGTAGTGAGTTGTTCTTGAAGTTTAAGAACAAATTCTTGCCTTGATAATGGTTTCTGACCTCTTTTATGATTATATATGACATAGGAATTAACTGCTGCAATGTTGACCATATTGTAGAAAAAACAAAGAGGCCATCTCCTGGTCTGGTTTATTCAATAGTTTCGTTACCAAGAGAATACTGGTAAACCAGTTATCCATTGTGATGTTGCGGGTTACTTTATCTTCTTCATTGTCACTCACATCACTAAAATCACTGGCTCCCACAGTATCATTCTGTAATTCTTGATCTATGAGTGGCCTATTTCGATCTAATTTGCTGTTTTTCGACATTTTTCCGTCTGCTTATTACTAACGCCACGTCAAATGTACGTCTCATGTACAAACGTAATTACTAAGTACACGTACTCTAGTCTCGCACCTACAAAAGCTGCATGCGAAACAAAAAAGTAAAGTGTCGGCACATTTCCGTCGTAAAGGAAGACGGGGGGAAAGCACTTCTGACACGACAGAGCGCTAGGTGCTAACATCTTGAATAAAACAATCGTTTGAGGAATATTAATACGTAAATTTTACGTGGGTTATTATTCTAGGTTTAAATATGCTATGAACCCTTTATGACGCTTTGTCATAGCCGGAGCGCCATTCGTAGCAGCTGATATAATGTTCTGCAAGCGAATTTTCTTCTCATCACAAACCTTTTATCCTCATATATATCCTCCTATACCAAATTTGAATAGAATCGAAATGAATGAATGAATTGGTGCCTTTTTCGGTGACTGAGTTCGTATGCTCTTGATATTAGTGCGTGTAAAGCCTCCTTGTAAAGTCCGTGTAAAGTTCCTTGTATATCTCCTTCATTCTCTTCCATTCTTGTCGGTCCCAAGCTACCCTGTGCCATGTTACTCCTCCACAACTCCTCTCAAACTCATCTTCCCAACTGGCAGTTGGTCTTCCTTTTCTTCTCTTTTTGTCTATTGGGTACCATTCTAAGATTTTCTTGGTCCATCTCTCATCTTGTACTCTTATAATATGACCCACCCAATTCCATTTTCGATCCAATACTATTCTTCCAATATCCTCGATGTTTGACTTTTCCGTTATCCATTCTTTTGTTTTTTTTTTCTTTCTTCGTAATGCCAGTCATCCTTCCATGCATTGCCCTTGCTGTTACTCTAATCTTATTAATTATTTTGTTTGTTAATATCCATGTTTCCCATCCATAAATCATGACAGGGAGGACACACATTTCCCACATTTTTTTCTTTTTCGACATTTCTATGTTTGATTTCCATATATTTTTGTATTTGTTAAACATTTGCCATCCCATTGCCATTCTCCGTGTTATTTCTTCTCCCGTGTTTTTAGTTGTAATCTTTTGTCCTAGATATACGAAATGCTCTACTTTGTCGATTTCCTTTGCATTAACAATTATTTTATTTTTTTGTTCACAATTTACGTACATTGCTTTTGTCTTGCTCATATTTAACTCCAGACCAGTTTGCTTCCCTCTTCTCGATATTGTTTCCAGCATTTTACTTCCGTTTCGTTTTTTCCTATAAGTACTATTTTATCTGCAAACTTTAGCCTGTTCAACCATTGCCCATTTATTCTTATTCCCAGGTCTTTCCATTCTTCTTCTACAAACATTGTTTCCAATACTGTATTGAATAGCTTTGTAGAAGTCACATCACCTTGCTTCAGTCCATTTCCTAGAGTTATCGTCCTTTTATTATTGTTCATTTCGATGTTTAATTTTGAGTTTTTGTATATATAGTTTAATATACGAATGTACTGATCTTCCATACCAGACGTTTATGACCTGTAAGATTGTTTCTGTTCTTACATTGTCAAACGCTTTCTCAAAGTCTACAAATAATAAGAGCATTGGGAAGTCATAATCATTCGATTTTTTTTATCAGTTGGTGCACGACAAAAATATTGTCTAACGTGAATACGTGTAATATTAAATAAAAATCAATTTAAAAATTTAATTTAATTTAAGTTTTTGTGTTAATTTTAAAAGATAGATCGACTGATAGATCGACTGATAGATCGACTGTTAAAGTCCTGCTACAAAAACCTGAAACACCCTGTATATATATTTTTTGGTGATGAAACAATTCCATATTTATCTCTATTAAAGTAAAGTACCTAGTTTAAATAACTATCATATATGTATTTGAAGTGTTGTGATAAGTTTCTTATTTGTTGTTCGAAACACGCAACGTCAAATAGAAATTAAACAATAATTGTAAACGTGAGTGAGATTATGTTTAAAAACGTGCTTTTTGTGTGAGCGCCTACGTTTACAGATAAAAATTTTATTACTGGCTATTACGATTGTTAAATAAAACAACACGCAGCGCAAAGATAGCGCTAAGAATTATTAAAAACGATTCAACCACAAATAAATAAAAATATAAAATAACAAACGGTTAGAGTTTTTCTCACTTTTCTTAATGTTTCTTTGTTCGATTCAATTTAAAATTACAGTTATAGTTGTTTTACGTGGAACAATGGTAAAGTTGAAAAACAAAACGTTCGGAAAGGACGTTAAAAATGGGTCGCTATTTAGGACAACGCCCACGTTCTGGCCTCCATTTTCGACAAATACGTTTGTATTTCCATTACCGACAATAAGCAACACTTCGGCTCGTAAATCAAACAATCAAATCGCATAGTCACAGCGAGTAGCAGTAGTAGTCGGTCGTGAATACGTGATTGATTATTCCATTCCGTTCCTCCATACCAGTACACGTTCGTTGCCATAAGCTGTTGGGTATGAACGTGCCACCCGGCACGAAGACATCAGTTTGTGACATTGCAAATCCTATCCTAATGAAACCGGATTATTCTAATTTAATAGAATATTGTTAGTAAAGTAAAGCTGCTGAAATATATTTCCATTCATAAATAAAATGCTTTAATGAATAAATTAATTATTATATTTTTTTTTCTTTTCAGAACCAAGTGGGGTTCTTATTGACACCACAATGGACAAATTGCACTTGAAACGCGATGGTCCACCGCCCCCATCGGTTGAACCGCCGTCGGAGACCTGTTTCGTCTGTGGCAATCGCGGCCACCAACAATCGTACTGGTTGAGCGCGAAACAGAATCCTACGAAGCCGTCCGAGCCGTACTTCCCGTTTCTGGAGACGCACGAGCCGCCGGCCGGCTGTTGTCCGGTGAAGAGGGGTGATGGGGCCGCTTCTGTACCCGCTTGCTACCTCTGCTACTCGCTGTTGCTGCAGCAGTGGGACGCGTACGAGCGCACGAATCGGCCTCACGTCGAGCGCATGTACTGGTTGAAACGTGTTGACAACGGCGCGTATACTGGAGCGGAGATGGGCCTGCAGGGCGAGTACGCAGCACAACTGCTCGGTTTAGGCAACGAGGGCGGTTCCTCGGGGGGCCTTAGCATTAGGACGACCGTACCGGGCGCTCCTCGTGAAGATCAACCGATTAGAATTAGTCCTTCGCCGAAGATTACTCCAGTAAGTATTCTCTAATGAGAAATAATATCAGACTTTTATTTTAAAAGTAGACAAGATGTGGAATGAGGGAGTGTGAGAAGTTAGCCCCCCATTTTTTGATTTTTAAATTTTTCATTGTTGTTCTAGATTGTTCTAGAGTTGTTCTATTTTGTTCCAAAGCGGCAAATAGAAAAAATAAAAACTCGGCGAGAAAATCGAAAAAACGGGTTTTTCGACTAGCCCCCATTTTTGGAAACATCAGATTTTCTTTGTTGTTCTGGGTTGTTCTAGTTGTTCTAGTTATTGTTCTAGAAAACCAAAATTATGGGATACAGCATTACAAAATGTCTAGCTGATTACTGTGACTATAGTTTTTCTATTTTCAATTCCATATTACAAATATATACTTATTATCAAGGAACAAGTATAGCAATCTGGAACAGCTATTATTTTCAGTAGAACAACTCTATAAAGGACACTTTACTCTTTGAAAATTAAAGTTTTTGGAAGTTTCAGTCAGTAATTCTTGCGTCATTAAATTGCAAGCATCTTGCGGCTTTTAAATTACACAATAACAATTAAAAAACATATATATAACGATCTAAAATAACTCAAACTTTGCCGATTCAAATTGTTCTAGGTGTGTTTTACGTTTAAACTAGGGAACAAACGGTTTTGCAAAACATTAATTTTGCAAAATCATATCTTCCTAAAAATACAGAAAAATGCAGACCTAAAAAGAAAAATAATAAATCAACAAATGAATAATCCACCTATTCGATCAGAAAACAAAAATACACTATTTGTATTATACATTATGTATTAAAAACTAAATATCTCTGTGTCCCACCCACACAGAGATATATTTATACAGGGTGATTCACATAAGAACCGACACACAGCAGGGATATGTAGATTACAATAAATTAAGATGATTCAACGCAACTTAAAAAAAAAAAATCACTTTTGTTAATTGGTATCAAGCGCTTGGGAAAACACTTTCCAACGGACCGGCTTTCTTGATCGCATTGTAGTAATGTATGAAATCCGCCAAAAGGTTAAAAAAATCTGTCAAAATTTAGGGTACCATCACCCTTAATCAACTCTTTGAAATGCCTCAATTGAGTTCAATTTGCTACCAATTAATACCCTTGGTGTACACGTAATGTATACCAAATTTGGTTTTTCTACCTTAATGTATTACGAAGATATTGAACTTTTTAAAAATTTAAGAGCCAACTATGACGACCTATAACTCCTCAGGTGTACAACTTGATATAAAGGTAAGTTACTTTAAATCATCTTAATTTATTGTCTTCTAGATGTCCTTGCTCTGTATCGGTTCTTATGTGAATATAAATATATTTCTGTGTGGGTGGGATACAGATATTTAATTTTAATATATAATGTATAATACAAATAGTGTACTTTTTTTGCTGATCGAATAGTTGGATTATTCATTTGTTGATTTATTATTTTTCTTGTTAGGTCTGCATTTTGTTGTATTTTTAAGAAGATATGATTTTGCAAAATTAATGTCACCAGAAAAACCTTTTTTCCCCTAGTTTAAACGTAAAACACGTCTAGAACAATTTGAATCAGCAAAGTTTGAGTTATTTAAGATTGTTCTATGTGCTAAAACCACTGACGCAAGAATTACTGACTGAAACTTCCAAAAACTTTAATTTTCAAAGAGTAAAGTGTCCTCTATAGAGTTGTTCTAGTGAAAATAATAGCTGTTCCAGATTGCTTTAGGTATAATAAGTATATATTTGTAATATGGAATTGAAAATAGAAAAACTATGGTCACAGTAATCAGCTAGACATTTTGGCAGCCAAACCTATTTTTAGTTATAACTTCGTAATGATGTATCCCATAATTTTGATTTTCTAGAACAATAATTAGAACAGCCCAGAACAACTAACAACCCGTTTTTTCGATTTTCTCGTCGAGTTTTTATTTTTTCTATTTGCCCCTTTGGAACAATGTAGAACAACTCTAGAACAATCTAGAACAACAATGAAAAATTTAAAAACCAAGAAATGGGGGGCTAACTTCCCGCACTCGGAATAAGAGTACTAACAAACAGAAATTAATGATATGTTATGGATAAAAAGTTTATAACATTATAAGAATTTAAAAAACACAAATTATCTATTATTTTAAAATTTTCTGTTTAATTTACATAGTTATTTTTCTATTTGAATCACATTGTAAATATTTATTACTTCTAGTAATTCTTTTATAATAGGTTTTTAACACACTGATTCTTATTGTAGATTAATGTAATATAGTAATGGTTTCTTATATTCTCCACTGTTTACCGCAATTTTACTCCCTAATACTGTCTTTTTGTTTAAATCTTTCAGCGTTGCGTATTTATTCTAAATACAATTTTTTTTAAGTATCCGAGTTATAAACACAACATTGAAAAATAACAACATTCTATTCACTTTTCGTCTTACTTTATGGTAACTCTATAACTGTTAAAAACCCTCCGCCTAACGTAAAATATAATTTGCACAATCTATTAAGACAGTATTTGACGTATCGGGTGCCATGTTGAAATCTTCTTCAGAAACAACTTAGTTTTATTTATGACAACAGCTGCGACAGCCTATCAACTTATACCACTTTGTATTCTTGTAGCTTTTCGGTATAGCTACCAAAGATGTTCGATTTTAAACAGTTTTTGTCAGTCACTGATTCGCTACTTGGGTGTTGCCTTCATTCGTCAATAGGGTAAACGCACCAGTGTTTGACCTGTTAAGGATTTTTTAATGTTAATGTTTGACCGAGTCATATTATTTTTCTTGTAGATCCCTCTGCCTTTACATAAAATGATCAAAATATAATTAAATACACATCTGATTCATTTAAAGTTGCTTACCCTACATATAAAATGTAACATCATAAAGTAATATTTTAAAAAAGTTAAAAAGTAAAACAGTATTTCGCATTTAGTGTTTGACCACTTTGGTTACATTATTTGACCAATAATATCTAGTCTTTGACCTTAAAACCGTAAATGTTTGACCGATTCTTAATATAATATTCATCTTCATTATTTGTCATACGATTTTGTTCACAAAAAATGTTTATATTTTTTGACTCTTTAAACGGAGCAAAATGTTCTTAACTTAACTTTTCATCCAAATTTTGTGTTTTCCAACTGGCTTTTTGTAACAGGAATGCTGAATGAAACAACCATTCAACCAGTAGTTTTTCTTCATCAGAATTTAAAAATGCTGATTGGCCCATTGTCCTCTGCTTTGGTGTTTTTCCTTTTTCTTTATAAATAAGAGTTGACTTTGGTACATTAAACATCTTGCCTGCTTTTTCATAAGATAAACCCCTACTTCTTGCATCGAGAGCCTTTTGATGAAGATCTTGTTCACTGTTAACCTGATTCATATTTGCTACATTTTCTATATAGGTTTTTCCATTGTTTGATAATAATTGACCGCCATAAGAGTCAGTATTTGACCAACCTTTTATCCTTTTAATTTTACAGATTGATTACTGCTTAAGTGTGTTCAATTACTTTTATTGTTATAAAAAAGATTTAAAAAAATTTAAAAGAACCGAACATTTACACTTATATTTATTTATACTAGGCTTAAATATTTATAAAATTTAAAATCGGTTAAAAAACTCAGTGTTTGACCTGTTTGTGTCCTATAAATGACCAAAAGAAGAATCAGTAATTGACCGCATATTTAAACTGATTGTATCTTACTTTTAAAGTATAAAAGTTTTGGTCAAATACTAAACAATTTAAACGGAAACATACAAGTTTTAAAAACAGGTATTACAAATTTTTCCATTTTATTAATGAAATATAGATACTTGTGAGATTATAAAACAACCAATTCGTCTAGTATTTAACCGGTCAAATACTAATTTTTCATTAAATTTAGAACTAGTAGTCTTCGACCGGCTTTATATTAACAAATAATTAATTAAAGCGGTAATTTTTTAATATAACCAATAGAAAACATTATTAGATCACTGGAAACAAAAAAAAAACCCATACATGCAAAAAAGGCTGAATAGTACTTGTTTGGGCGAATTTCTAAATATAAAAATTACCCTTTTTAGCACGATGTGAATAGGCCGACAGTTTGCGCGAAATTAAACAACAAGAACTCAAGAACGGTATGATTGTGGACTTTTTGCGTAGTAGGGGGTGGAGAAGAGACTGGTGGCTATTTATGGATAGATTTATTTTTTTTTTAGATATTCCTTGGATCCTTATTTTTGAAATTTTTTTTATAAAAACGGTTAAACACTGCCCAACGGTCAATTACTGACGTTTTACCCTAGTTACTGTGAATCATGTTGTGTGGTGTTCTTTCTTAAGTTACTGTATTGTCGACTCCGAGGCCTGCAGCGAATGGCTCACATGTCGAATCATATTAAACGATTCGAAGTGTGAATAATGTAGTGCCGTGCATGAAGTTAAATAGTTATTGAAATTTAAAACTTTGCTGAAAAAGTACAAAACTGTCTAAAAATTATTACAAATATTCAAAATAAGTTTAAAATTATTTAAAAGCCCAAAATTTGTCCAAAATCATTTAATGTAGAGCCACATTTTGATCATTTTAGACGGTTTTGAACAAGTTTAGACAAGTTTAAACAATTTTACACAAATTTTGAGCTTTTGTTGATTCACCATTCGTTTTTCTGTGAACGTTTTATTCGGGCGAATGAACCATTCATGCAGGTCTCTGATGCCCACCTGATGGGCATCAGAATCCTAGTATCGTTGTTTTATGACCCGAAGTTTATAGACACCTTTTTTTGCTACAGAATTTTGATGATCTAGAAATTTGATTATCTATTTATTTCAGATTTATATATTTTAGAAAATGTAACATTTAAAACATTTTTTAATCTTTTAATAAACTTGTAACATTTATTAATCTCGAATATGGTGTAACAGGTACCTGCTAGCGTAGGGTAGAGTTTTATGTGATGTAATAAGAGATGGTTAAGATAATCAGTAACAATTCTT